GGGCGGGGAGCGGTGTAGGGCACGGAGCAGAGCCTCTCCTACCGGAAGGTGTAGAGCAAGCCGGAGTCCAGCAAGGCCAGCACTTCGGCCTTGGAACTGGGGAAGCTGAAGCGGTAGTGTAGGGTCTCAAACGCCGGCACTACCAGAGCCGCTCTCCGCTCGCTGCCCAGCTTCAGCTGCTCGATGGAGGCCCTGCGCGGGGAGCGCCCGTGAACAGGGCAGCAGGGACGGCTCCAGGCCCAGCGAGTCCCTGACTTCTCAGCCGCAAGACCCAGGGCTGGCTGGCCGGACCGCCCCGCGGGAGGCAGACACAGGACAGCTGCTATGGGAAGCGGGTCCCAGCCTCCCCTCCTCTCCTATGGCAGCCCAGACAACCGATGCAGCGCCCCCCTCCCCAGCCTCAATACAAACCCCATCTTACAGAGGACAAAAAGGAGCCACCACACGCTTGCCTAGGGCCCCTGTCCACACACACCTGTCTGCCGTTCCTCTCCCTCCCTCCTCAGGCCCACCTGAGGTCGTCGTAGAGGGAATAGGCAGGCAGGAAGTCAATGTCGCTGAGGAAGACGTAAGGCGTGAGGGCCTGGGCCAAGGCCACGTTCCGCAGCTGGTTGACGGGGTAGAGGGGACCCTCGCGGTACACCACGTGGTAGGCCACGTTCTGCCGGGCAGAGAGCACTGCCGAGGCCTCGACGAAACGCAGGAACTGCTGGGCCTCTGCGTCTGTGAGGTACAAGGCCAGGCTCATGGGGCCCGGCCAGTGCCGGCACAGGGCTTCCAGCATCTGCAGCCTGGGGCGAGGGCGGTGGTCAGCCCGGCTGGAGCACCTCCCCAGGACAGCTGCCGCAGACACCCCCTCACGTGACTTACTGAGCCCCTTCCCGGGGCTTTTAAAGCTGCTCTTACCTCATCTTCACAACTACCCCACAGGGGGGCCCTTTCCCAGGTAACAAATAAGAACACCAAAGGCCAGAGATACTAAGACTTGCCCGTGGTCCCACAGCTACAGAGGGGCAGTTCCAGGCACCTGCACGATTCCCCAAACCCAAGCTCCTAACCACAGCCAGTGTCTGCAAGTTCTGGAACTCCTCAAGCATCAGGCAGCGGGCGAGAGCTCTTCCTTCCACCCAATGAAACTGTCCTCCCGGAAACCTCCCCCCGTCCCAGCCCCTCAGCCCCTGCCTTGGCCCCTGGCACTCTCACCGGTCCATAGAGAGCTGAGCCACCAGGGTGACATCGTGAGGCCGGGGGGGCGGCGGTTCGTGGGGCAGGAAGGTGACGTGCACGCGGTGCACAGTGAGCCGCTGCTGCCGGAACTCAAAGCAGGCGTCTTCCTCGTCCAGTTGTGCCAGGGCCCGCTGCACCTGACGGGGTGGCGGGGAGACGAGGACCAGGGCTGGAGGGCAAGTCCCCAGACGAGGCCAGGTCCCAGCAGAGCAGGGAGGGGGCAGAGCCTCCCCAAGGCGAGGGAAGGCGGCTCCCTCTCACCTGCTCGGCCTCAGCCGGGGGCGGGCTGGGGCACCCAAAGAGCTCTCTCCGCAGCAGGTTCCCATCATACTCCAGGAAGGTCAGGTAGAGGTTGCGGAAGTATTCCACGTGCTTGTTCTTCACGCGCAGCTTCTTGGGTGAGTTCCAGTGGATTACCTGGGACCCAGGAGGGTGGTACTCGGGGGATGGGCACGGGGAACAGAAGCCCACCGCTCGGCCCCCACCCCACTCACCTTGAGATCGGACGCCTCCGAGTAGCAGCGCTCAGCCAGCGTGTGGTCTGACAGCTGAACGTTCCAGACGCAGGGCAGAGGCTGCACCAACCCTGGGTGCTCCTTGATTACGGCATTGAAGATGTCCTGGGCAGAGACAGCCATCATGCCTCGGCCCAGGGCCTGCTCCCCACCCACCCTCCCACCGCTCCCCGTCAGAGGCTCCCCCAGACCTGGTCTGCCAGGGAGGTGGCGGGCAGGGTGAGGAGCTCCCGAGTGGCCGTCAGCTTCCACATCTGCCCCCAGCCAGCCTGCCGGAGCCGGTCCAGCCGCAGGAGGATCACGCCTGCCCAGGGGAAGGGGTCGTCATGCCCACCTGGGCTAACCCTGCTCCTGGGGTCAGGGGTCACGAAGACGTCTTTTGAATGTTTACTTTTTGACTTATTGGTATTTTTGGACTGTTCAGACAGGAGCATGGACCACTTCGGTCAACCATCATTCCTCTTGGGGGTGAAGGGGGGAACTGCACAGCTTACAGAGCACCTCCACAGCCATGTTCTCCCTCTCAGTGATCCCAGGGCTGGCAACATCATCCCCATTTAATGGGTGAGAAAACAGAGGCCTAGGGGGACCGAGTGGCTTGGCCAAAGTCATCCAGCACAGCGAAGATTGGAACTGTTTTCCGGCTCTTCTCCTGGTGTTCTTTCCACAGCACTATTCTTCTAGGTGGGGTGGGGGGGGATTTCCTAGCATTCAGTGCCCTGCCCAGTCCCTGGGGCCTGAAGACCAGTGGCCACCCCTTCTGCCTGCCCCCCACCACTGTCCCACCTGTGTTAAATCCCCGGCCCAAGGCAGGCCAGGGCCTGTGGTTCCTCCAGAGGTTGCCCAGGTACCAGTCGCTCTGGTTCTCCACAAGACCGATCACCTGCTCGTCTGGGAGGGGAGGGCACGAGGGAGCTGCCTGAGGCTGCCACTGGCCCTCGGCTCAGGGCTAGGCCACAGCGAGGCCCGGACAGGCCAGGGAGGGGGTACCGGCTGGGGCTGGGTCCCAGGCCTCTCACCAGAAAAGTGAGCAAAGAGTGCCCAGAGCTCTGCGATATCAGAGGCGAAGGTGACATCTGTGTCCAGGACAATGACACGGGCCAGCTCAGGGGGCAGGGCAGCAGGCAACACTAGCTTCATTAGCCCGTACAGGCCAGAGTAGTGCTTGTTGGGGATCCAGGAGACCTGGGGCTGTTGGGGCGGGGGGGGGGGAGGACAGGGCATGAACCTGGCAGAGAAGGGCGTATGAGTGCCAGAACATACTCCGGGTGACACAGGGGGAGGAAGGCATACACCCCAGGGAGGATGAGGGATTTGAGCTTCTGTAGGTGTGATGGGACTGGGGGGTCCCAGGCAGCTCTAACCTCTCCCACACGCCCCCACCCCCGAAGCCCTAGGAGGAAAGACAGGGCTGGGCACTGCCAGAAAGAAGTGCAGAAGGGCCAGGGCTCCTGCCTTGAGCTCCTCCGCGTCATAGAAGCTGACCCGGACAGCGGGCACCATCCACGTGTGGAAGAGCATCTCCAGAATGTTCCTGGCCATGGCATCAGTCACCAAATGGAAGTGCAGTGGATTTTTCCTTTGGGAAGGACAGGTGAGGAAAGCTGACAGGCCCAAGCGGGAAGAACATGGGACCAGACCCGCCGGAGGGGCTCAGAGTGAAAGCACCAACTTCTGCAAAGAGCTTTTCCGTCCCCAGCTTCGGATACTGTTAGAACCACCTTCAAGGGAGGAAGGGACACTGTCCCTGTGGCGCAGATGGGGTAACTGGAGCTCCCAGATCCTGCCCAAGCCTGTGTTCCCTTCCCCACGCCTGACTCCCCACCCCCACCCTGACACCTGGTTATACCTGTAGAAGAGCACAGATTTCACCAGGGTGACCAGGTCTCGGCTGGAGTTATGTCCCGCACACACGATGGCCACGTGCAAGAGCTGGGGAGGGGACGCAGAGGTGGGCAGCAGCCCCTCCCCCACTGGACCGTAAGGACCCACGACGGGGCTGGCCCGGCATGGGGCAGCGGAGCCGAGCCCCGCCCGGCAACAGAGCTAAGGAAGAGTGGGGCGGGGGGATGCGGAGCAGGAGTCCACCCCTATTTCACAAATGGGGAAACTGAGGCCGGGAGCAGGGGAGGCATTCCCGGCCGGCTGGTCCGTCCCGGAGCCACCTGGCGGAGGCTCGCCAGGTGTGATTCCCACAGGTGCCGGGGGGCGGGCGGGGAGGCCCGGCTGGGGGCGCGGCGCCCCTGAGAATCCCGCCGCCGGGGGGCCGCGCGCACCTACCTCGCACTTGGGCAGCGGCGGCCGCGGCGGGACGCAGTCCGAGCGGTTGCGGCCCCCGCGGTCCGCAGACGGGTCTCCGTCGACGGCAGCAGCCCCCCGCTGCCGCCCGTCTGCAGAGACACGTGGCGTCAGTGGGCAGGGGAAGGATCCCGGGCCCCTCCGCTCGCCTCCTCGCTCGCCGCGCTCACACTCCACGTCCCCGCCGAACAGGAAGAAGCCGATCAGAAGCAGCAGGAGCAGCAGCGCCGCGGCCCCCAGCGCCCGGGGGCGCCCTCGGGGCAGCATGGCTGCCGGCGGGTCGCTCAGGGCGGGGCTCCACCGCGGGCTGCGGGCTCCATCGCTGTCCCTGCAGATCGGGAAGGGAAGCGGGAGAGGATCAGCCTTGGGCGACGGGGCCCGACGGCCGCCTGGTCCTCCCTCCCGCTTTGAGTCGCCACCTCACCTGTTCCAACGGCCCGGGGACCCCGACCTTCCTCTTCCAGAAGCCGGCCGGGGTGCAGGGGAAGGGGGTGGAAGCGCAGGCCAGCCCCGCCCCCAACCTGGGTTCAGGTTTCACCTCCGCTTGGCTGAGCCCAAAGGGGCGGGGAGGCCCCAGGGGGGTGGGGGGAGGTGGGCGAGGAGGACTGGCCCCGCCCCTGCCCCGGCATCGGACGACCACCCCCCCAAGCCCGGGAGGAACCCGGGGAACCCCCAGGATGTCTGGAGGGAGCGGGGGCAGGCACCCAGGAAGGCCCAGTCCCGTCACCTGCCCTGAGCCCATCCCCCTCTTCCCAGCTCTGAGGCCCCATCTCCTGCCCTTAACCTCCCAACGGGGGAGGGGCCCGTGACCCCGGGCCCGGAATCAAAGGGATGGCGGGGCTCAGGAGGAAGGAGTGGAATGCGGGGCCTCGAGGGCCAGGGACACCTGCTCTGGGCACTGGAGGCGGGGCCGGCCGAGCCCTGCCCGGCAGCTGCGGAGCACCTGGAGCTCCGGGGCCGCTCCACCCCCGCTGCCTTTCGGGCGGCCCGGCCCGCCTGGCTGCGCGGCCCGGACAAAGCCGCCCTGCGAAGGTCGTGTCCTGCCCGGGAGCTGGCAAGGGGCCTCCCTGACGCGGGCACCGGGATCGGCATCCCCCCCGCCCCACCGCCTTGCCTAGACCGGGGGACTGGGGCTGAGACTGGATTTCTCACTCTGCCCCACCTCGCACCCCGCAGCCCGGCCTCGGCCCTGGAGGGAGTGGTGGGCGCTCTGGCCCCTGAGCGACAAGAGTCATGGTTGGCTGAGCGCACATTCTCCGTGCCAGGCCCGGTGCTGAGGTTTGACGAGCCTCATCTCAGTTAACCCTCCCCTCAGTCCTGTGATGCAGGCATCATCCTTCCCTAAGAAGTGAAGTGACCTGTTAGAACACCCACCCCTTCCCCAGACCCCTTCCTAGGCTCTTCTCTAAGGGCTTCCTGCCCGGGAACTTTGCCCTTGATGTTCCTTCTGCCTGGATTCTACCAGATTCTCCTGACGCCGGCTCCTCCTTCCACATCCCTTGGTTTATTTTATTCCTAGCACTCCTCTGAAGTTGACCTTGCAGACTTGTTTATAGGTACCCCCCCCCACCCCCGCCCCCAGCCAAAGAAGGCTGCTCGTCAGACTGGAGCCTTGTCTATCTCGTCCTGTACTGGGCCCCAGAGCCCAACCAGGGTCCAGCACCCACTAAACACTAAGTATGTGCAGAACGTGGATGGGATGCACCAGGCCTCTCCGTGAGCCAGCTTACCCCAACTTCACCTATAAAAAGTGAGGGCCTGGGAGACCCTAACCCCAAAAGAAGCTGTGGAAAGCAGGCCAGCATTAGACCCCTCAAGTCTCCTCCTTCAAGACACTGGGATGCCTTTCTCTGGGAGATGGGGGTTTTCCAGGAAAGTCCAGCTTTGGAGGCTAGAGGTAGTGGTTGCCACGGAGACTGATGGTGGCTCCCTGCACATCTGGGAATTAAAAGGAGATGAAGGGATGCAGGGGCCATCTTGGCGTCTGGAACTTTGAGCCTTCGGCATCCCCTGACCCTCATCTCTAGCCTGGAGCTGGAGTGGGGGTGGACAAATCCCTCCCCAAGCCCCTCAACAGAGAATGGGGATGGTGGAGGGGGGTAATAAATGTGAGGAAGAGGGTAGAGCACACAGGTCAGGGCCTGGCCAGGGAGTGTGACGGGAGCTGGGGCTTTCGGAACTTACTGTGGTTACTCACAATGCTGGCCCCACCTCCTCCTTAGCCTTACTACTCAGGGGAAGCTGCTTGCTGAGCCGCTTCCTGGGCCTCTGAGAGGTTGCTCTGGGGCAGGGGGAATGGGAGCCAGGGGTGGGCCTATGAAAGGGTGTTGGTCTTCTAGGTCCGAGACCTGGTTTGACCCAGCTCTGCCCAGGACTTTGCTGTGTGACCTTAGCCCAGTCAGGCCCCCTCTCTAGGTCTCAGTGTCCTCCTCTGTACTTGTTGGACTGGTCTAGCTCTCTTCTCCTGTGGCTCAGGGCAGACTGAAGGAGGGAGGTTCTGGCCCAACTTGCCCAGAGGCCCTTCCAGCCCAGCCAGGTGACCAATGCCAGGCAGGGACCCAGCAGGGAGGGGCTGCGCTGGGTGCCTCCGGCACACACGTTCCACTCTTTGTTTCTGGGACCTAATCAGTCCTGAGATCTGGAGAGGAAATTCAGGCAGCCCTGCTGCTGCCAAAGTGGCTGGGCCCACGCTCCTCTCCCAGTCCTGCAGGGAAGGAGAGGTTTGGGAACAGGTTCATTAAGATGATGGGGTACATGGGGCACCTGGGTGGCTCAGTCATTGGGCGTCTGCCTTCAGCTCAGGTCATGATCCCAGGGTCCTGGGATCGAGCCCTGCACTGGGCTCCCTGCTACGCGGGAAGCCTGCTTCTCCCTCTCCCACTCCCCCTGCTTGTGTTCCCTCTCTCACTGTCTCTCTCCAATAAATAAAATCTTTAAAAAAATAAAGATGGTGGGGTACAGGGAGGAAAGGAGAAAGAGCCCCACACTGAATGCCCTGAGCGCTGGTCTTAATCCCAGCTTCTTACTTGACTCACGACAAAGTGGCCTCACTGTGTCACTGCCCGTGCTGGGTTGTGGGCAGTAGGAGAGAGCACTGCTGTGGGAGACACACGTTGTGGTCCGTTTGGCCAATGCCACGCTATGTGACCTGGGACAAGTCCTTTCACCTACTGGAGCCTCTTATTCCCCATTTGTGAAAAAGAGTTCATACCTAGCTGGCAAGATGGCAAGGTGGTCAGGTGTGGTGTAGGAGTGAGTCTGGCCCCCAGGAAGTGGTGAGAAACGATGTTGGCGATGCCCACGACCACCCCCTCTGTTCTCCAAGACCTGTAGCCTCTCCTGAAGCCCCTGGACACATCTCCCTGGGTCATCCTTGCTTGGCATGAGAAGCGAGAGCAGCTCTGATTCCCCACCTTATATAGAAGAAAACTAAGCTGGAGAGGAGGGTGAGGGAGAGGGGAGGGCAAGGAGGGGCTGTGGCTCCCTAGTAAGGTGTGTTACTTAAACCGCCTAGATGCTGTGGTTAGACTAGACCAAGATTCGAATGTGACTGGGCGTTCTTAAGCTGATCCTTTCCACACCTGCAGATAACATCCCGTAGAGAGAATCAGGTAAGATAATGTATTACTACTCTCAGAGTAAGGTGAACCAGCGGGCCAGTCCGCAAGGGCTCAGCCCCTTGACCCCACCCAGGCTCCGCCCCTTTCCCCACGGAGCCAATCAGTGGCGGCCTCCCCGGAGCGTCAGATTCCCTACCTCTGGCCGCTTCTCTCCTGCCACAGCCCCTATCAGGGAGGCCACCCGATTTGGGAAGATTCCCAGGAGTCTCCCCCGCCCCTTGGGGAACAGCTGAGGACCGGGAGGTGCATCCGAGGGCCGAAAAGCCCTTTGAGATTGAGCCCGAGTTCAAGGACCAAGTCTCCCCTCAAACCAGTTTACAGATGGGAAAACTCGAGACCCAGAGAAGGGAAACACTCGACCAAGTCACCCCAGGCAAGAGCGGAAGGCCGAAACAGTTTTCTCCGCGAAGATGGGAGTGCATGTCCGCACAGTCCATGCGGGAACTGTGGCCGAAGCCCAGCACTAACAGTGGCTGACCAGGGAATCGAGACTGCGTGGAAGGCTGGATTCTTCCTTGCCTCAGTTTCCCCAGCACTACGTCTGGTGGGGGTCCGGGGACGAGGCAACTGGCCAAACGGGCGCCTGCCAGGACTCTCCCCGCACCTCCCCAAGTCTGATCGAAGTTCCTTTTGCAAGCTACCTCCCAGGCCTTTAAAATACGGTCCTCCCGTTCGAGCCTCTCGGCGTTCTATTGGAAAGACTCCAGGATCCTACTCCATTCTCTAGAATGAACTGCTCAGACTACCGCGGGAGCTTTCTTGGAACTGTTAACTGCGCAGGCGCAAGAGCAACCCACCCGGAAGGCGGAAGCAGCGGGTCCCCACAACGCCGGGGGGTCGGGGGCGGAGAGTGTGCTTAACCAATGACCTGAAGGAGCAGGGAGGGCGGGATTAGGCCCGCAGTTGCTAAGCGCTACCCTAGTGGGAGGGGATTTAAGAAATGGGGTGAAGGGTGGTTCAATGGCCCTTCACGTCATCATCCTTCTGGCCCTCGGAAGTTAAGCAACGAAGAGGCGGGCCTAGGACCGGAAGCAGGAAGGAGGGCGCAGGAAGCAGGGTGCTGCAGCTCGTCGTGCTGTCGGTCCGTGAGTCTGACGGTCCCGAGGGCAGGATGGAGAAACTGCGGCTTCTGAGCCTCCGCTACCAGGAGTACGTGACTCGTCACCCGGCCGCCACGGCCCAGCTGGAGACGGCAGTGCGGGGCCTCAGTTACCTGCTGGCAGGTGCTACCCTGACCTTTGCCCCACCCCTTAGGGGCTCTGACCTCTGACCTCACTGGCCCCTTCCCTTCGGAGTCAGGGTAGTGATCGCTGTGCTTGAGAAGTTCCTTCCACGTTCCCGTAGGGCACAGGGAGGGGATGTCCAGGGCCCCGAAGCCGCAGGCTGAGGCAAACGCTCACCGTCGCCTCCTGTGCCTTCTCCCCAGGTCGCTTCGCCGATTCGCACGAGCTGTCAGAGCTGGGTGAGCGGGGCTCTGGGGCGGATGGGGGGCGGCGGGGCTTCCCAGAGGGAGGACCACCCCGGTTCGCTGTCCTAGGTTTTCCGTTACATGGTCCTGTGCTGAGTCGGACAAAGGTTCTGAGTCCACTGTCTCGGGCCCCCCATAGTCCAGAGACAAATCTGGGGACCTTGACTGGTCAGGCGGCTGGCCCAAGTACCTTGCCTGCCTTTGCCCAGTTAATCCTCCCTGTAGTCCTACGATGTACTGTTACTGTCCTCAGTGTCCAGTAAAGGGGACAGAAATTCAGGGAGGTTAGGGGACAGCTACTGGTGATCCCGGAGCCAGGCTTCAAGCCCGGATTTCGCACATTCGAGGAGCCCCAGACTGTGACTGCCTCAGGTGTTTGCCCGGGGAGCCCCGGAGGGTAGTGGAGGTAGAGGTGGAGCCACCTTTCAGGGACAGGCTGCAGGGAGCTGAGGCCCAGAGGCGAGACCACACATCCATGGCTGCTGAGAGCGGTGGGCAGTTCTGGACAGCTGGCTGACCAGGGCTCTGCAGCAGGGCAGTAGCTGCTTTGTCGCCGAGATCAAGCCCTCCTTTCTTGTTCCAGCCACCCACACGAGATCATACTGGGGAGTGGGCAGCTCTGAGGAAGTGGGTGGGGAGGCAGGTGGGTTTCCACACGGCCTGTGGCTGGCGGAGTAGAGCAGGTAACAGGTGATACCTGCAGCTGTGGGGAGAAGGGGAGGGTGTAGAGGCCTCAGAACCAGCCCTTCACGGCCACACTCTTCCCCCCACCCTCAGTGTACTCTGCCTCTAACCTGCTTGTGCTGCTCAATGATGGCATCCTGCGGAAGGAGCTTCGGAAAAAGTTACCTGTGGTGAGAATTCTGTCAGGAGCTGAGGGCGGGCAGCACGGGGACTTGGGAGTGAAGCAGTAATCGCCAGCCCGTGTGTGTAACATGTACGGTCTCAAGAGTGTGAGCCGTGCCTACGTCCATCTGAGCTTCAAGCCATCTCATTAGGTGGAGGGTCAAGTTGTTAGTGCCCCTGTCACAGATGAAAAGACTGAATTTCAGGGACACAGAGTAGCCTCTGCCATCTGGAGAACTCAGGCCTACACGGGTAGTCTTAGGGGAAAATCCACCTCTCCTGTCAGAGGAATCACCTAGGAGGAGGGCCTGGGCCTGGGCCCCCCGCCCCAACCCTGACCTCTTGGCCTGGGGTCCTTGCAGTCGCTGTCCCAGCAGAAGCTGCTGACATGGCTGAGCGTGCTCGAGTGTGTGGAGGTGTTCATGGAGATGGGGGCCGCCAAGGTGTGGGGTGAAGTGGGCCGTTGGCTCGTCATCGCCCTCATCCAGCTGGCCAAGTACGTTGGGACTGAGGAGGGCAGGCCCTGGGTGGGGGTGACTCAGGCCAGCAGTTCGTGTGGGGTTCACCAGAGCACCCCTGGCCCCCTGCTGGCTAGCCACCTCCCCTGCAGCCCTGCCGTACTCCCAACCCAGGGCTGTCCTGCGGATGCTTCTGCTGATCTGGTTCAAGGCTGGCCTCCAGACCTCACCCCCCATCGTTCCGCTGGACAGGGAGACCCAGGCACAGCCCCCGGGTAAGCTCTGGAGTGGCCTGGCACACGGAGTTAATTTGTGGGTTTAGAGCCAGCCAACTTGAGTAGAGTGTTGTCTGTTCGTGGAGCACATCTATTCCCATCAGCTCAGTTTGTTCTCATCACCCTGTATTGTACAGAGAAAAAAAAGAAAGATGAGGCTAGGGGCAAAATCAGAACTTGAACTCAGGAATCCTGGCACCAGAGTCCTCATTCTTTTTTGTGGAACGGGGGACAGCATGAGTAGGAGACAGAGGTCCTGCCGACCGTGTCTTTGGGCCTCGTTCTGTATATCAAGAGCCACAGTTGCGTGAGGCAGGGTACCCGGCAGATCTTTCTCTTCGGGGCTTTGGACTCCTCACTGGTTGGCCTCTAGGCCTGATGCCTCTGGCCTTCTGTGGGAATCGTTCTTTGCTTTTCCACCTGGTCATATTGAAAGCAAAGGACTGAGAAGACATGGGCCCTCCCTCCGTCACTCCAGTCCCTGGGAGGCCTGGCTTCTTGGCTGGCTCCCCTACCACGAGTCATGCTGCGCTTTCCCCATCTGGGGAGAGTGCTGGCGCACGGCCCTGGCGACAGCGTCCGGCCTCAGCCGCCACCGTAGTCCAGGCTTACCCACGCCCACCCATTCCCCCCTTTGCCCAGGAGCGTTCGCTGCACGTGTGTTCTCCGCGGGCTCCGCTGCAAACATGTCCCTCTGACAGCATGGCCTTCTCTCTGTCCCTGCTAGATGGTGACCAGAGCGCTGACGGCCAGGAGCAGTCATACGTGGGGAAGCGGTCGAACCGAGTGGTACGAACCCTCCAGAACAGTAAGTGTAGGATGTCGTGGCCCCGGGCGCCTCAGGGCGGAGGTCAGCCCGGGCCTGCCTGCTCATCCGCTGCCCTTGTGTTCTAGCCCCGTCCCTGCACTCGAGGCACTGGGGAGCGCCCCCGCAGCAGGAGGCCCGGCGGCGGCAGCAGCACGAGGAGCTGAGGGTCACCCCCCCCACCCCGCTGGGGCTGCAGGAGACCATCGCAGAGTCCTTGTATATCGCCCGGCCCCTGCTGCACCGTATCCTCTGCCCGCCGCTGGCCGGCCCTCCGGGGCGGGCCCCATGGGGAGTGGGTGGGTGGGCCGTGTGCCGGAGACCTCCTTGACACCTTGGCCGTCAGTGCTCAGCCTGGGCCTATGGGGTCAGCGGTCGTGGACACCCTGGCTCCTGTCTGGGGCTGTGGACGTGACCAGGTGAGCCCAGGCCTGCCTGGGGAGTCCGCTCCCTCTGCCGGGCTTCGTGCCGCGGGCCTGTCCTCGCCTGAGCAGATGGGCCCCCCGCCCCGCCCCGTTGCTGGCCCTGACCGCGTCCCCTTCTGCCCCCAGCCTGAGCCTCCTGAGCGACAGGAAGGGCCTGAGCCGGAGGGAGCGGCTGGAGCTGCGGCGCCGGACCATCTTGCTGCTCTCCTACTTGCTGCGCTCCCCGTTCTACGACCGCTTCTCCGAGTGAGGCCCGGCCCCGGCCCCTGCGCACGCCTTTCCCCCGCTCCCATCCAGGGTTCGCCGACCGCCTGCCGTGTGCCAACCTGCGTGCAGTGGCAAGTGCCAGCCCGGCGCTGCCTTGGGGCGCTCAGGCCGCAGGCCCGGGTGTGCGGGAGTCACTCAGGGGCGGCGCGCCGAGGGCAGGGCCCCGGGGATGGTGGCAGGGGCGGGCTTTCTTCCTGCCCAGTAGTGTGGAGCCCCACTTTGCAGAGAGGCCCTTGAGGTTCAGAGAAGCAGGGCACCTTACACGGAGCCGTCCAGCTAGGCCGTGGCAGAGCCAGGGGCCGCCGCCATGCCTGCTCTGTCATCTGTGAGGGCCAGAACCAGAGGGCCCACTGGTGGCAAGTAGGGGGTGGCTTGGGGCCAAGTGCCCCAAGGCCTGCCGGGTGACTGCCTGAGATCAGACTGCGATCTGAGGAGGGGTCTCTGTACGGCGACAGGGGCCAGGAGACAGACTGGAGGCTCCTGTCTTAAGTCCTCTGCTGGAAGATGGCAGTAGTCCCTGGAATTACGTTTAATACTGTGGCCGCACAGCCTCTGTTTGGGTTTGGTTTGGCTTGCTTTGGTTTTGAGGCCACAGGAAGTGAGTTTGTGCCATACTCAATACCACCTTGGTGCAAATAGCGTGGCCTGGTAATTCCTCTTTTCAGATAAGTTTGCAGGCTCACAAGTACTAAAGCCAAATCCTATTCCCTGCTCTAAAGGAATATTCCAGAGACTTACATGGACCATATGAGCTCCCCCCACAGACGGCCTGCACTTTGCAGAGGAAGCGAAGCCCCAGGATCTCGGAACTGAGGCATTTTGAGGCGACAGTACCCGCAGAGGTGGCCCCACAGGCGGCAAGCCTCTAGTGTGGCCCCTGCTGAGCAGACCAGCCTAGCACCCTCACAGCAGTGGCCCAGACTGAGAAAGGTCTAGAAACCTGCCGGAGAAGTTCTGGTTACCCCGGAGGAAAGGGAGCAAGCTGCTGAGCGGCTCTGGGGTATAGGCCTTGCAGGGAACCCTCTGGCCTTCCTGTCAGACCGACTGTCATCTCGGGCCGCGCTGCCTTCCGGTCGTGTGACCTGGGGCAAGTTACTGAAACTCTCTGTGCCTCCTCTGTATGACGGGGACGTGCTCTTGCCTGCCTCATAGGGTCGCGGGAGGCCTTAAATGATCTCAGACATACAGGAGCACCTGGTACAGAATCACTTAACAAATACCGAGTCTTACCATCATTTCTCTTGTTCCCGTCCCCAACGCTATCGTCTCACCCCAGGTTCTCCTGTGGGAAAGCCCTGTCTCTTAAAAAAAATAGGGTCTTGGCCCCTGCCCCTTCCACTGAGTGTGGGCCCCCCCCACCGCCGGGCCTGGTCACTCAACATTGGCTCGCGAGGTTTCAGTGTGGCTCAGTGCTTCTGGCTTACTGGGGGTTTCTCGAAGGCAGGGTGGGGCTGTCCTTCCCTTTGGGCCCTCACCACCCCTGTGTTGGGGCTGCCCCAGGAGTGTGTTGGCTCAGGAGAAGGAAGGGCAGGACGAGGGAGAGAGCGGCGGGAGTCTTTGGGATGCTGTGAGGAAGCACCAGTCCCAAGCTGAGCTGTGGGCAGCCCAGGCCAGGCAGTTCCTGCTCATCTTCTCTCTGCAGGGCGAGGATTCTCTTCCTGCTCCAGCTGCTGGCAGACCACGTCCCGGGCATTGGCCTGGTTGCAAGTAAGTGCGGAATGGGGGTGTGATTACCGAGTATCGCAGATCTTTCGAGTGGCCCCGTGTCCCTGACTGTTTCCTCTTTATCTCCTTGTCATTTGATTTTTTTTTTTTTTAAAGATTTTATTTATTTATTTATTTGAGAGAGAGAGCACAAGAGGGGGGGAGGGTCAGAGGGAGAAGCAGACCCCCCGCTGAGCAGGGAGCCCGATG